CGGAGCGCGCCAGGCGGTCGGGGCACGGCCGTCGGGGTGCACGGGCCACTCCGTGACCGAGTGGGAGTGGGGCGCGCAGGGGGCTCTGGGGAGGGTCTCCCGAGCCCTCCATTCGCTTGGAGGCGCAGCAGGGGGCAGGGGCGGGCTGGTGGACCGCCTGTCCCCAGCCGCGCCCCTGTGCCCCGTCCGCAGCGAGGTGCAGAAGGCGGTGAACACGGCCCGAGGGCTGTACCAGCGCTGGTGCGAGCTCCTGCAGGAGGGTGCGGCGGTCGGACGTGAGGAGCTGGACTGGACGACCAATGAGCTGCGGAATGGCCTGCGCAGCATCGAGTGGGACCTGGAGGATCTGGAAGAGACCATCGATATCCTGGGGTTTTAGGGGGTGGCGTGGGAGAGCCCACCGCGGTGGGGGGGGGGAGGCTCCACTCCTGGGAGATGGGGGAGAGGCTGGAAGGGGGATGGGAGGTGGTGTTTGGCTCTGGCCTCGACCCTTGACTCAGCCCAGGTATAGTGGAAGCCAACCCGGGCAAGTTCAAGCTCCCAGTCGGGGACCTGCAGGAGAGAAAGGTGTTTGTGGAGCGGATGCGGGAGGCGGTCCAGGTGAGGAGAAGTGGGGTGAGGGGCGAGTGAGGGGAGTTAGGGTGTCGTTCCTCCCTAATGCTGTCCTCACCTCCAGGAAATGAAAGACCACATGGTCAGCCCAACAGCCATAGCCTTCATGGAGAGGAATAACAGAGAGGTATGGTGTCCTGACCCCACATGCCCCCCGAGCCTCTTGGGGTGACCCGCCACTTAGAGTTCATGGCTGACCCCTTTGTGTGTGTTTGTCCCTTCTGCAGCCCTGCCTGTCCTCTGTGTGCGGCGTCCTCTGGCTGTCTATCTTCATACCCTTTCTAGGTGTGTATGCCCAAGCCCTCTCTGCGTGTGTATTTCCGTGTGTATCTCAACCTGCTTCCCCCACATCTGTGATGGTTTTCTGTTTTAGGGGAGTGCTGGGGGGCTGTATACCTGTCTTCCTTTTTTTTTTTTTTTTTTGAGTCAGAGTCACTCAGGCTGGAGTCAGTAGCACGCTCATGGTCACCACAGCCTCGATCTACTGGGCTCAGGCAGTCCTTCTGCCTTAACCTTACAAGTAGCTGGAACCACAGGTGTGCACCACCACGCCCGGCTACTTTTTGATTTATTGTAGAGATGAAGTTTCGCCAAGTTGCCCAGACTGGTCTTGGACCCCTTGACTCAGGCAATCCAAAAGTCTTAGGCTCCCAAAGTGCTGGGATGGCAGGTGTGAGCTACCGCGCCCGGCACCTGTCTTCTTTCTGCATCTATGCCATTTGTGCTTTTTGTTGTTGTTGTTGTTTGTTTTTTGGGGGATTTTTTGAGTTGGAGTCTCACTCTGTTGCCCAGGCTGGAGTGCAGTGGCACACTCATAGCCACCCCAGCATTGACCTGCTGGGCTCTGGTGATCCTTTCGCCCCAGTCTTCCAAGCAGTTGGAACTATAGGCATGTGCTACCATGCCCGGCTAATTTTTTAATTTATTTTGGAGACCAGGTCTCACCATCTTGTACCCACGGCTTCAGGCAGTCCTCTCGCCTCAGCCTCCCAAAGTGTTGAGATTACAGGCTTGAGCCACTGCGCCCAGCCTGTTTTGTTTTGTTTTGTTTTGAGTTGGAGTCTCACTCTGTCGCCCAGACTGGAGTGCACTGGCCGCTCCCAGCCACCACAGCCTCGACCTGCTGGGCTCCGGAGATCCTTCCGCCTCAGGCTTCCAAGTAGCCGGAACTACAGGCGAGCGCTACCACTCCTGGCTAATTTTTTGATTTATTGTAGAGATGAGGTCTTGCCAAGTTGCCCAGGCGAGTCACAAACCCGCGGGCTCAGGCAATCCACTCACCTCAGCCTCCCAAAGCGTGGGATTACATGCTGAGCCACCAAGCCCGGCTCCAGCCTGTTTTTTGAGTAAGAGTCTTAGTCACCCAGGCTGGAGTGCAGTGGCATGCTCACAGCCACCTCAGCTTCCACCTGCTGGGCTTAGGTGATCCTTCTGCCTAGCCTTCCAAATGGTTGGAACCATAGGCATGCACCACCAGGCCTGGCTACTTTTTAATTTATTGTAGAGACGAAGCCAGGCTGGTCTCAAACACCTGGGCTCAGGCATTCCTCTCGCCTTGGCCTCCCAAAGTGCTGGGATTACAGGCATAAGCCACAGTGACTGGCCATGTGCTGTTTTACTGTTTCCAGGACACATGCTGACTTTGTTCTCAGTGTGTGCACCTGACACATGTAAGTGCATGCACTTGGCCTTACGTGTGTCCCCATCTGTCCCTCACAACTTCTGGTTCTCTCCACGAGTGTGCCTGCCCCGTGTGTATCCTCGCCTCTGTCTGTCGCCTTTCCCTTTGTGTGGTGTGTCTGTTCTTTGCATGTTGAAAACCACCAGCCTCTCTCCCTATTCCCGTGAACCCACATGGGGTCTAGAAGGCCCTGCACCAGTGTGGCATCCTGCAGCAGTGCCCAAGAGCCTTCCAGATGTTCCGCCTTGGGAATTAAAGCCCAAATTCTAAGATACATTTGTTACCAGTCTAGGCAACATAGAGAGGCTGCCTCTCTACAAAAAAATTAAAAAATTAGCCGGGTGTGGTGGCACGTACCTACAGTCCCAGCCACTTGGGAGGCTGAAGTGGAAGGATCATCTGAGCCCAGAAAGTCAAGGCTGCGGTGAGCTGTGATTGTGCCACTGCACTCCAGGCTGGGCAACAGAGTGGGACTACAACTCAAAAAATAAATAATTATATTAGTTAGTTAAAATCCATCTGTTGGCCGGGCTCGGTGGCTCAGCCTGTAATCCCAGCACTGTGGGAGGCTGAGGCGAGTGGATTATCTGAGACAGTGAGTTCGAGACCAGCCCGGGCAACTTCGCAAGACCTTGTCCCTACAACAGATCAAAGCTTAGCTGGGCATGGGTAGCATACGCCTGTAGTTTGGGCTACTTGGAAGGCTGAGGCGGAAGACTCGCCGGAGTCTAGTAGGTTGAGGCTACAGTCGCCGAGAGGTATGCCACTGCCCCTCTAGCCTGGGTGACAGAGTGAGACTCCAACTCAAAAAAAAAAAAAAATCCACTGATACAATGATAAATGATCCATTGCCCAAACACTTAAGTCAGTCCGGACCCTCTACTGAATTCTAGTAGGTCCTGTTGCCTGTACCCAACCCTGGAAGGCAAGGAATGAGGGCCACTTGACGGGGATCATATACCCAGTCAGTAATGGAAACAGGGTTCAGACCCAGGCTGCTTACTGCCATCTGATTCTGCTTGCCTCCTGGCATTATTAAATAATAATAAAAAACAGTAAGAGGTGGCATATATGAGTGCTTACTGTGTGTTGTGCCCTGTTTTAAGTATCCTCCGTGAATTAATTGAATCCTCATTTCAAGCCCAGAAAACAAGGATGGTAGCTCTCTCTTATTTTTTTCTGAGTCAGTCTCACTGTGTAGCCTTGACCTGCTGGACTCAGGCGATCCTTCAGCCTCAGTCTTCCAAGTAGCTGGAATTACATGTGCACGCTACCACACCCAGCTTTGTTTTTTTGGGTTGTTTTTGGTTATTTTTTAGTTGGAGTCTTACTGTGTTGCCCAGGCTGGAGTGCAGTGTCATGCCCACAGCCACCACAGCTCGACTGCTAGGCTCAGGTGATCCTTCCGCCTCAGCCTTCCAAGAAGCTGGAACTGCAGGCATGTGCCACCACACCCGGCTAATATTTTGATTTATTGTAGAGAGGAGGTCTCGCCAAGTTGCCCAGGCTAGTCTCGAACCCGCGGGCTCAGGCAATCACCTCGGCCTCCCCAAATGCTGGGATCATAGCTGTGAGCCACCTTGCCCGGCCTAGCTCTCCCCATCTTACAAACGAGGAAACTGAGGCCCGGGGGGTCCAAGCGGCCTGGCCCTGGGGTCTCCTTGCTAGTGCGTGGCGGGTCTGGGGAACACAGGCGTCCTGCCTTGTATGGCACAGACGCACCCTGGCTGCGAGTGGACATCCCTCCCTGAGCCGGTGGCCTGCGCCCCGCAGGTGCCGGCGGGCAGGCCAGCCACCCAGAAGCCACCCAGCGACCTGCTGGACGCCAGCGCCGTCTCCGCCACCTCCCGCTACATCGAGGAGCAGCAGGCCACGCAGCAGGTGGGTGTAGGCCGTGG